GTTTGGATCTTGAATGTTTCCCAAAGGTCCACGTGTTGAAGGCTTAGTCTCCAGCGTGGTACAAATGGGAGGTGGTGAACCTTTAAGAGGTGGGAGGTCTTCAGATAATCTAGGGATACACCCTTGAAGGGAACTTAGGCTCTTCTCTCTTCCTCTCATGCTTCCAGGCTATAAAAGGTGAGTGGTTTTGCTCTGCCACATGCTCCTACCATGATGTACTCCCTCACTATAGGCCCAAAGACATAAGGCCAATTGGTCATGGACTGGAACCTCTACAACTCTGAGCAAAAATAAAGCTTTTTCTTTATAAGTTGCTTATCTCAGGTATTTGTTATAGTGATGAAAAGCTGACTGACACAGTCACCATTTACGTTCAATTAATTCTGTAATTAAAATGTTCTATACCATTCTTATACCTTTTCTATAATATTAAAATTATTTCAAAAGAAAAAAGGTATATGTATGCTATAATTATAGCTATTTAAAAATAGAACATAAATAATGGAAATAAAATTATCAAAAGAAACCACAGTGGTAAAGTACTAAATTAAATGGGTACTATTTAACTTTTGAAATTTGTTTATTGTCATATTTCCATAACAGTAATAACTTTTAAGACAATTACACATATGTTCATGTTTAATTCAACAAGACAACAGATATTATAAAGAAGCCCTCCAGCAAAAGAGAAGAAAATAGCATAATGCAGCCAATAGTCTTCACCCTATGCATACCTAAGTAGTAATTAATTTTAGTATGCACATGCTCCTCCACTGCCTAATTAACTTCCTTTCTTGAACAATATGTACAAAGAACTCTGAAAACCAAAAAACAGATACCTTGATTTAGATGTGTGGCCTCCGTAATTTGAACACCATTCACGGAGCACTGAGACCCACTCAGGGGTATGAGAGTCACGGTCCCCCCAACATTTTCAAAGACACAGTGCTCACTCTCTAAGTCAAGGCCATGAAGAACTAAGTTGGAAAAACAAAGGATAAAGGTTAACTTTTTAAAAATTTTGCTTTTGATATATTTGACAATTATTTCCAACCATTAACTTATTTTTTATTTTAAATAATCTTCCTTTTCCAAGAAAGTTTTGTAGATATTTATGTTTAATGGGGAAAAAAAAAACAACTAAAATTTAGGAGTCCAAGGTATTAACTAATAGAAATGGAGACATACTCTAATTGTTACCTTGAAGGGTCTGCCCTCATCTGTATAAGGAAACAAGTTCCTAGATGTTAACTTTCTTTTTCTTTCTTGAGGAGAAAATAGTAGAATAACTTGTTTTAACTGAATTGAATTGCTCTGTTAGATAATAAATTAATTTCTTTTATCAGCCACCTAAAGAAGGGCAGAAGGGCTCTGTGGGTCTAGGACTACTTATGAATTCCATAATTACAGATAATGCATTCCAGGAACAGAAACCCCAGGTGAACTGGGCATGGCATGGATCTCTGGAAGCTCAAGAAGATACCAGAAGCTATACTGAGATGCCTATCACCAAAACTGTACAAATCTTAGACCACACAGAGCATGCAGTTGCTAAGGTTTATGTAATTATGTATCACTATCCTGTGTTCTTCTTGTCTGAGGAATGGCCATCCCCAATATGAATGCCTGTCAAAAATAAACATACATGCTTTTAGGGAAAGTTCCTGGCAAGGTTTCAGGAGTACAGACCATGCACCTTCTACTCTCTCCATAGAATATACTACTCAACTTCTCTGGTCACGGAAAATGTATTCTTATCACTTATCATCATTAATAACTACCCCAAATGTCAAACACATAGTTCAACCAAGAGGCCTGAGTCAAGGTCTACTCAAAAACAGTTAATCCTGGGAACCTGTGGAATTGGTTTTTAGCTATTCCAGGCTCAAAGTAAATAGTAAATACACATAGGAATATGCTAGGCCTGCCTTAATAGTTTATGCTTTTCAAGAAATCAGGTCCATCTCATTTATTAATTCTTGATTTTATTTCCTGCACTTTAGGAGTCTTGTTAAGGAAATCAGGGCCTAATCCAACGTGATGAAGATGGGCCTGCTTTTTCCTCAGTTAGACGCAAGGTCTCTGGTCTAATTCCTAAGTTCCTGATCCACTTTGAGTTGAGTTTTGTGCATGGAGAGAGACAGGGGTTTAGTTTCATTTTGCTGCATATGAATTTCCAGTTCTCCCTGTCTCTCACAATGCACAAAACTCTAACTCAAATTGGATCAGGAATTTAGGAATTTGTTGAAGAGGCTATCTTTTCTCCAATGCATGTTTTTGGTGCCTTTGCCTAGTATGAGATAACTGTATTTATGTGTCTATATCCTTCCTTGAAAAGGACTTAGATCTTTTATCTCTCTCTGTTAGTATATTTTCATTAACTGCTATCTCCCTGGGATAAGTATAAATGGATTTAAATAAATTTAAAAGAGTAGAAAATATATGTAGGATGACAGGAAGGTTTTATAGCTCCATTTATTTACTAAATTAATTGTTCTATGTTATTCATCTGAGTTGTGATCAAAATTACAGATACATATTATGACCAATATTTTATTTGTTCTTTTTTATAATTACCACAACGTCAGTCACTCAAAGGAAGGTTCTTAATTAAATATGATTTTTAAAAAAACATTGAGAAGAGATAATAAAGTATTACCAATATCCTGCTCTGTTGCAGCATCTTCTCTACCAACATATGTCTGACCTTCCTGGGAAGAAAAATCAAAGAACACTTATTAGTGAAAACAAGAGAAGGGTTTGTCCACTTTCCATTTAAGCCCAGGCAACCTGATGAATAATGCTGGGGTAGGCCTCAGTGCAATCATGGCTCAGTCTCTGCAACAATACTGCAGTGGGGGATCCAGAAAATGATAACTTAGCAATGGTTAGGCTTCCATCTTGGCATGTATCAATAATTTGCTAGCATCAGCAATTTCATCAATGTTCCTGATTTAGGGAGCTTCTCCTCCAGAGTCCAGGGGGTTTCTTTGCATCTAAAGATAAGGTACACGAGAAGGCCACAAAACTCCAGTACAGTACCATTCTCCTAAAGAGGGCATTAAATTCAAGATCACAGAGACAGCCATTGATTCTGACATGGAACTCTGCCATTCAGACATGATTAACCTCCTTGGAACCAAGTCCAACAGTGGGCCACACAATTTTATAATTACAACTAGGAACCAGAAAACTGTATATAAAACAAACTCCAATTATAGGAGCTTGTAACTTTTCTTCCTCTTTCTACCTTTTTGTTCCTCACTTCCCTTTTCCTGACTCTCTAAAGCAGAAGCCAAAATGAATGACTCATCATTTAACTTCAGAACTACATAAACATGGGAACTTCAAGTGCCAGAGAATCCCAGTGAACTGCTGAAATTCCCCAAAGGGCTCAAGAACTTGTTGTATATTCTTTAATTTAATAGCTGTATTCATGGCCATAAAGCATTATAATAAACCTTGCTAGTGTCTAAAGGGAAAACTGGAAGCAAAATGAGAATGTTCCACTTAAGCAGTTTCTACCTTCAAGTGATATAAGATGATTCCAGTACTCAGAAGGTCATCATCAATGCCAATCAAATGAGGCAGTTCAGAATCCAAAACAACTCCAATCCCCTCCTTCCTAAGAGCTAGAGTTTGTTCCTGAAATCGGGAGAAAAGGAAAAGGTTACTTTGGTGAAAGAGAACATCATATTTCATATTCCTTACATTGTTAATTGATGTCTTATTTCTTATTAAAAAACTGCAAGAAAAATGGACTTTAAACTTCATGTTGAAATCCTGGCAGGTGGTAAGCAAAGTGAACCTGAAACATATAAATAAAAAGCTCAATTTAAAATTAATTAGGCTTATAACGTGATATATAACTTTTCAAGGGCAATCTCACAGCCCATTTTCCTTAGGAAAGATTTCAGGATCACCCTGAAAGATTACTACAAAGTAATCTTTCTTCCTTCTTCAGAACCTTTGCATCACTTAAATTCTGGAAGTTACCTTAACTGCATGTTTTTCTCTCTAGTTACTATGGTTAACTATGTGTATTCTTGAGAGCAACCCTTGCCTGTGCATTAGGTACCCCTGTACCACAGGTGACCTCAGTCTCCTGAATCAGCAACTTTTCCCACCTACTGGATCATTCTCGCACACATACAAATCTGCTATATCTCTCCCACCAACAACCACTATCCTGATCACCTCCCTTGGCCCTACCTCTCCCTCTAACTACCACCAATTTCTCCATGCCCTATGAGAGAAAATCACCGGTCAAATTTCCTTACACATGTGGCTCTCCAAGTTCTTCCCACTCTCTTTTTTGAACCCAGGAGGTGGTTTTAGACCTCAACCTACACTGATGCCCTTTATCTCATCCTGACTCTTGACTCTAGCTGCCATCCACATACTGGACTCTCAAAACTGCCAAGGAAGATCTCTCCCTTGGATTCTATACTTATGTATGTGTATCTCCTATTCAATACATCTGTGGGGATTTCAAACAGGCAGCTCAAACTTAACACATTAAGAAATACAACACAAACCTGTAGACTACCACATCTCAGTAAATGCCGACCTTGAGCCAAAAACCAGAGCTTTACTTTGCTTTCTTTCTTTCTCTAAACCCTATGTCTACAGTATTGATTCCTACTTTCAAAATATGCCTCATATCTAGTAATACCAAACCACCTGCACCACTTCACCCTGGCCCAAATCATCATATTTCATCTGCATTACTGCAACAACCCAGGCCATCACTTATACCCCTTGTAATATATGCATAACCCAGGAGCCAAATAGATAACAAAGCAGGTTACTCTTTTGCTCAGATCCCTTAAATCACCTCCAGTTTCACTGAGATACAAGCCCAAGTTTTCATAATGTTTTACAAGCTCAAATGCTCTCATCACCCCCTAACCTGCATTTGTCTTCCATCACTGCCCTTCCCCACCTTGCTCACTCCTATCTAGGAGCCATGATACTTTGCTGCTCCTCAAATTTGCCAGCCTGCCCCATCTTAAGGCTTGAATCACACTTTTACTTCTGCTTTTTTGACTACAGTTTCTTTTGTCATTGCTATTCCTCTCTTCCCTGAGAGCAGGGTCTCTTAATCTCCACAAAATTGACATTTATAATTTCTTTATTCTCGTGTACTAGTGGATATTTAGCAGAATCCCTGGCCACTATCCACTAAATGCTAGTAACAAACCACCCTCCCCCAAAGTGGTGACAACCAAAAACCAGACATTGCCAAATGTCCCCCTGGGGGACAAAATCGGCCCCAGTTGAAAAGTGCTTCCTTAGATACATACATAATTTGACCCATCACTACCTTCAGGTCTCTGCTCAAAGACACCTTACCTATTGTCCCATACAAAACAGCAAGTACCCACCTTCCACATGCTGATTTGTATCTCTTCTTAGCAATTATTACACATGTAGAAACTCCTCAACTAATATTTGCCAAATGAATGAGTTGATAGATCCATGGAATTCAGAGAATTTACTAGTGTGACCCCTCAGGGAAAGGGCCATATCTTAGCATCAAAACCAACTGGCCCAAAATAAAAGATTTCCAAAATCAGGTTTTTAGGGAAGTCCAAGTTGGGAAGAAGACACATTCCAGAGACCAAAGGTAAAATTTCAGTCTTGATGTTGAACTCTGATGAATTCAGACTGAGTCACACCTAAGAGCATGACAGTGTGCTCAGTGACTATGGAGCAAAAAGGAGCATGTTCCAAGCTATCAACCAGGGCTTCTGGTCATGCACATTTCTGGTGAACCTCTCCCCGGCCACCCACCATAGGACAACAATGACCAAGGCTCATCTCTATATCTCAGAACTGCACAAAACATAATTGCTATTCCTTACATTCCTGGCATGGAATAACATATTTTGGTGTCATTTAAATACTCAAACAACATGCAATCTGCCATTCCTTCGGTAAAAGAGTCAGAATTTCTCAAGCCAGTGTCAAAGCAAAACTCAAATCTTGCAGACAAGGGAGCTCCTATGAGATTCTAGGAGTGGGCAGTGAAGAGAGAAAGGGTCCTCAGGCCTTTCTCTCTACAGATATTAAGTCTCAAATGCACACCCACAGACCTGGAGTCAATAGAATGAAGGCGATGAAATGAAGTGGCAAAAAAAAAAAAAAAATATGGTTTAAAAAAAATACACACATAAAAAGCACCACTTGAAAGAAAGCAATTTAATTTAACAACCATTAAATAGATACAGAGAAAATGACCACTGCATAACTTAGATTCAAGAAAAGGAAATGAAGCGTATCATTGTTCTTCAATTACTTCTCTTATCAGCCAGCTCTCATTCCATGGCTCAGAAGCTCAGGATCAGAGGTCAGAGACTTCAGTAACCTTGATTTACTATCCTGAGGCCTCTGCAAATCTTGGCTAAAATGAGCACTCTACATAAAACAACCCCTACTCCTACCTCTCAGACATCAGTAGAATTCATGCTTTTCTTTCTGCCCATGAAATTCAAGCAAAAGTGGGAAGTACGTGATTTCTTTTTCAAAGATATATAGTAGAGAATTTAATCACACAGCTCCATTTCATGAAACAATGCCCCTATTGGAAGGTCTGGTCTCTCTGAACTTCTAGAATAGTGCACACAAGCTAAGTAGCCCCGTGGCAATGAATTCTTTCAGGCTTCTAAGTCCATATAAAAAGGAGAGTGATTATTCTCATAAGTCCAGAGGCATATGTATTTTCCTTCTGAAAAAAAAAAAGTGGACAATAAACCATCTCTTCCCCCCCCCATAAAAAAAGGCAATATTTTAAACTATAACAGTTCCTACTCAAACTAGACAAATTGCTTTGGACTACATCCAAGTTTAGTTTAATGTTCTCAAAAAAAAAAAAAACCCCACTGAAAACACTTTTTTTTTTCCTTGATGTAAGTTTCATAGACTTTGAAAAGCACTGCAAATCCATAACTCTGGAGCCATTAGGTCAAAAGCATTATTTTTTCTGACCAATCCCCAATGTGGTACACACACAAAAACACATAAAGCACATACTCACACACTCTTCCAGACATATAATAGGTAAAACATGAATTAAGAGAAAATTTTTCAAGATTGAGAGTGGGGGCAGATGAATTTATGATTAATGCTGCCCTAAAGCTCTATGACATTCAAGCTGCATTCAACTACAAGATATTATAAAAGTGTCACCTCATAAAACTGAGAATGAAGGTTTAAATCATTGCTCAAGTGAAAAAGTAACTTCAGACAAAAATATCTATCACGTATAAAATATTTATTGAGTGGCATCTACTGTTGTACATAATTTATGAAACACCTCTTGGATAAGACGGAATACTTAGCATAGTAGAGCTGGCCACCGTCCCCAACTCCTGGCATGCTGAGTCCCAAAGAAAGAAACAAAGAAAGAAAATACGTGGAATTGCACATATCTTGCAATGAGACAAAGCTTTCAGTAACCAAAATTAATTGAATAAAAAAAGACACTATAGACTGATTAGAAGTGTCAAAACATAAATATTATGTTCATTACATTAGCAAATAATATACTCATCCTGGAGCACGGTGGCACACACCTGTAATCCCAGCAACTTAGGAGGCTAAGGCAGGAGGATTACAAGTTCAAGGCCAGCCTCAGTAATGTAGCAAAACCCTCAGCAACTTAGTGAGACCCTGTCTCAAAAAATAAAAAGGACTGGGGATGTAGCTCAGTGGTTAAATGCCTCTGGGTTAGATTCCCAGTATACCTCGCCCCCCCCCCCAAAAAAAACACCTTTCCTTCTACCTCCAGACACTTATTCAGTTAAAATACCCCTGAATTTAAAACACTTGTCCAATTCACAATAGCTAGACTGTGGAACCAACCCAGATGCCCTTCAATAGATGAATGGATAAAAAAAAAATGTGGCATTTATACATAATGGAATATAACAAAATCATGGCATTTGCAGGGAAATGGATAGCATTAGAGCAAATTATGCTAAGTGAAGCTAGCCAATCCCTAAAAAAACAAATGGAGAATGTCTTCTTTGATATAAGGGGGGGGCAACTCAGAACAGAGCAGGGAGGAAGAGCATGAGAAGATTACCATTAAATAGGGATGAGAGGTGCATGGGAATGGGAGAGAGAAGGGGAATTGCAGGAAAGATGGTAGGAGACCCTCATTGTTATGCAAAATTACATATAAGATGGTGTGAGGGGGAAGAAAAAAAAGAGAGAGAGAAATGTGTCACAGTAGATTGGGTAGAAAGAGGGCAGGGGAGGGGAGGGGGGGTTGGAAGGGTAGCAGAATACAATAGACACTAGTATGGCCCTATGTATAAACGTGGCTGTATAATCAATGTGCTCCTGCAATCTGTACACGTGGAAAAATAAGATTACATACCCCATTTGAATCAAATGTATGATATGTCAAGATCATTGTAATGTTTTGAGCAACTAATTAAAAAATTTAAAAAAAATAAAATAAAACACTTGTCCAGTGCTAGGGCTGACACAAAATCACCTATGCTGCATTCTGGGGGCTGTGGTGAGTTGCAAACAGGGCTGCCTAGATTCTGGGGGTAATCTGACTCACTAGGAGAATTCTTTGTAACCACCATTACTAAGCATTTTAGTCATCTTTTGTGCCACTGTGACCAATA